TAGATAATTTATGCTTTAGATGTCATCAGTTCATCAATATTCTACATTTAGATACTGTCAATATGTCAATATTGTATGTTTCAGTGTCTATGCAAATGTCTAACTTGCAAATACTCTTCTCAAAATAAAGGGTATTCGTTGGATTGATAATGAACCTTTAACGTCCATGGAAACATTTTATTCCACATTAGGTTCTTAAAGGGACATCATCTGCCATCATTTACTCATTATCCATTTGTTTTAAACATGTTTGAATTCCTGTCTTCTGTTTAACACTAAAGAAGATATTTTGAAGAATTTTACAGCATGTAACCACTGATCTCCATAGTATTTGTTTGTCCTACAAAGGAAGTCAGTGGTTACAGGTCAACAGAAGTTTGGAACCACTTAAGGGCTCCAAATGATTTAAATTATATATATTTTTAATGAATAACCAAATATCAACTCAAATAGTTAATTCCCTTGTTGTTGAAAATGAACTATAGTTTTTGGGGACTATATTTAGTTTTATTTGTGCTGTAACTCTTTTGTTTTTATAGCAATAAATAAATGAATGTTAGCAAAATTAATTAAAAAATAATAAAACTCCACCCCCATATGCTCTCGGCTAATCTCATTTATTGCCGGCTGCAGCCTTGCTTCATGTCGAAAGCACCTATTCAGTTAATAAGTCATGATGGATCGGTGATATATGAAATAGTGTTTCCGGGTCAAAGCCGCTACTTATTTGAATTGAGAAAATATTTGTTTATGACCACTTTTTAATCATATCATAGGCATGGTTTATATATATATATATATATATATATATATATATATATATATATATATATATATATATATATATATATATATATATATATATGTGTGTGTGTGTGTGTGTGTGTGTATGTGTGTATGTGTGTGTGTGTGTGTGTGTGTGTATATATAAAAACCATGCCTATGATATGATTAAAAAGTGGTCATAAACAAATGACTTAATAACTGGATAGGTGCTTTCGACATGAAGCAAGGCTGCATATGTGTGTGTGTGTGTGTGTATATATAGTTGAAACCAGAAGTTTACATACACTCTATACAAAGGAACATAACTTTTTTTTTTCTTTTTATTAATGTCTAATGATGGTAAATCATACTAAACATTTACTATTTAAGGTCTGTTACCTAATTACCAAAATCATGTACATTTGTTAAATGCCAGAATATTGAGAGATTTTTTTTATTGTTTTTTTTTTTTTTTTTTAGATTTTTTTATTAATTTTAATATTTTAATAAGATTTTTTAAAGTTAACAGACATTTTCTTGGTATTTTTTTTATTGTGCTTAGGGTCATGGTCTGTTTGAAAGACCCATTTGTTGCCAAGTTTTAATTTTCTGGCTGATGTCTTGAGATGTTGCTTCAGTATTTCTACATAATTTTATTTTTTCATGATGCCATCTATACTGTGAAGTCGACCAGTCCCTTCTGCTGCAAAGCACAACATGATGCCCATACTTCACAGTTGGGATGGTTTTTCTAGGCTTGAAAGCTTTCCCCTTTGTCCTCCAAATGTAACACTGGTCATTATGGCCAAAAAGTTCAATCTTAGTTTCATCAAACCACAGGACATGTCTCCAAAAATTATTCTTTTTCCCAGTGAAATTTAGCAAATTGTAATCTGCCTTTAGTTGTTGATTCTGGCTTGTTGATTTTCCCATGTTGTCAAAAAAGGAAATAAAGTTTTCCTTAAATACTATTCTACAGTTGTGCCTCCAATTAACTCAAATGTTGTCAATTAGCCAATCAGAAACTTCCAAAACCTTGACACCATCATCTAAACTTTTTCAGAGGCATAAACATCTTATTCTATGTAAACTTGACTTTCAAGAAAAGTTATAACAATTTCTCAAAAAATATCTCTCATTATTCTACTATTAAGCAGAAGAGAAACAAGTTTGATAATCCTAAATTACCTAAAAGAGAAAACGTTTAGTAATCTGACTTTTTTATGGTTATGTGCCTTTTTATACAGTGTATGTAAACTTGTGGTTTCAACTGTATATATATATATATATATATATATATATATATATATATATATATATATATATATATAGAGAGAGAGAGAGAGAGAGAGAGAGAGAGAGAGAGAAAGAGAGAGTGATCATGATTTTCGAAAGTTTTACATCCATTTATGCGCTTAGACCCGGAAGCCACTTCGCATGACATCACACTTAAAATGTAGATTGAATTTTGGTCACTTGACGTCATGACCTAAATCTAACCTAATATTAACGTCTTATGACGTTGCTGGGTAAATAGTGAATACATTTTAATTTTTAAAGGAACTTTCCCTTTAACAGTTAATGTGTGAATGAGTATTAGAAAAAGGTTATTCATATTAGGCACCATGGTGGCGCAGTGGGTAGCACAATCGCCTCACAGCAAGGAGGTCGCTGGTTCGAGCCTCAGCTCAGTTGGTGTTTCTGTGTGGAGTTTGCATGTTCTCCCCGTGTTTGCGTGAGTTTCCTCCGGGTGCTCCGGTTTCCCCTACAAATCCAAAGACATGCACTATATGTAAATTGAATCAACTAAATTGATCGTTTTGTATGCGTGTAAATTGTATGGGGGTTTCCCAGTGATGGGTTGCGGCTGGAAGGGCATCCGCTGTGTAAAAAACATATGGTAGATAAGTTGGTGGTTCATTCCGTTGTGGCTGAAAAGAAAAATTATAAATGAATGTTATTCTATACTCTGAAAAGTTATTTTTTGCTAAAAGGTTTTGTGGAAACCATATAATCTTTTATTTTATTTTTTTTCTCTATTTTTTACAAGTCCAATACACACGAACACACATACTGGACCCACCATACATGGTCTTTCATGAAAAGCAAGTCTCCATTTTCTCCAGCACTTTCACTCAGCAGGGTTGACTAATGTATTTCCCGTTCTCCGGCTTCACCTGCTTAGTCATCCATTTCCCTCCCTCTCTCTGTCTTTATGTTTCTCCTCCCACACTGCCTTTCACTGGCCTCCATTCATTTAATCCTCTGCCTGTTTCTCTGCCTCTCTGAAACCCTTCATGCTGTCGTGTGTCCAGCGGTGGGTGGAAATGTAAGGTCCGTGAGCGACTGCTAATTGCTCTGTGATTCTGGTTTTAGACTGGGTTTCTTCAGTCTGGACTTACTGACTGGCAGCTCTATTGTACACCACCAAAGCTTTCCTTTTGCTTTTTGCTGCTTAGGGTTTTAGACATTTTACAATGAGAGTTTATGGGTTTTAGGCTCATGAAGTGGGTATTTAGTCTGTCATGATTGAATATGATGACTAATTAGTGAATATACACTGGAGGTTGAAGTGAATTTTAGTAATATATGTGGTCGGTTTGATGGTCTTTCTTTCATAATTGATGTACTGTGCTGCTTTGGAGGGATGTTGTGATGATATGGAGTGCGTTTGTAAAGCAGTGTTTTTCTGAAAGACCTCTGTTGTCTCCTGGTGTTGATTAGCGGAACTACAGGTTTTGATGAATCAATTGTGTCGTTCAGTTCAATTAAATGTTTCTCCTTCAAATGTGAAAATTATTGACTTTTTAAGTGACATTGCAAAAAAAAATCAGTGTTGATGTTTTATTTATTTATTTATTTTTCTGTAGTACAAATTATTAAAAAGCAGTGGCGTAGCAGAACAGGCAACCAGAGCACAAATCAAGTTAGTTAGGGTTGTTAATTTGTTAATTTTCTTGAATGACAACTTATGCTTGTTAACCAATCATTAATCAATAATCAATAAGTATTGAATAATGACTTATTTTTTTTAGTATGACCCAAAATTAACAGAGGAGTCTTTTTTTATTTCAAATCTTTGACTGTGCTGGTACATTTCAGTTTTACTTTGATTCGTTTTGAGTAGATCTAATTTGTATTGTTATTAACAAATTATAATAGAAGTTTGTGCTACGCCACTGTTAGAATTTTATTCTTATTATATAATACTAAAGACAGAAAAAAAATAGCTTAGTTTAGTTAGAAAATAGCTTAGAATAGTTTAAGAGACCTCAAAAATAGTAAAATATCTATTAAAATGCAATTAATCTGCACTGGCAAAACATTACATATATATATATATATATATATATATATATATATATATATATATATATATATATATATATATATATATATATATATATATATATATATATATATATACATACTCTGGCAGTGTGATATGGTTGTATATCGGCACTGGTGGGAGACGTGCGTTAGTACCCCACCAGTGATGATTACTACATTTTGATGTTGCATAGATAAAATTTTGGGTGCATATGCGACCGAAACAGTCGCAATTTCAAGCCCTGTCTCATATCCCAAGCTATAAATGTACCAAAACCAAAGTGTTCCCAAACGCCAGACCTGCTGTTGGTTATAGGAGGATAACATTAACGTTACTAGCCATTTTGCAAGCTAGTGCAGGTTTTGCCAGACTGAAGTAATGTTTGGAGGTGGGCGGGGAAGGCAGCATGTCACGTCATTTGGGATGCCTTGTTAAGCGTTGTTGCACTGAAAACATTAAATTTTGTACACTTATTCTCTTTTATCTTTTTAGATTTTAATCTGAATCATTCGGTTTGTAATGCGAACTGAACCAAAAGTCTCGTACTGAACGGTTCAATACGAATATGCATACCGTTACATCCTTTATATATATATATATATATATATATATATATATATATATATATATATATATATATATATATATATATATATATATATAGTTATAAGCCTAATATACCACATAGGCAGGTGTGTCAGACCTTATTAATTTGTGGATGTGAGCAATTATGTACAAAAATGTATTAAAGAAAATATTTTCAGGAATACACAGGTAAACTCTGTCTGAATGTCTGTCAGTGAACTGTTCAAATGTTAACTTCACATCTTCTACCAGCAGGCGCAAAGAGGCCAAAGACCTTTACTGATGCACTTTGAAATAACACTGCTGTGTTTGTGTTCAGGGGAAGGACCCTCTTTATGCCCAGATCAACAAGGGGAAGAAGTGAAGCATCATGGGAACTCTGCACAGACATGATCAGCGCTGGGGGGAGCAGGAGACCAAAAACACTGGAGATCTGTGTGTGTGTGTGAATGTGTGCCCGTGTGTGTGCGAGTGTCACTCCAGCCTCAACGGTCCACTTCTCTAGAGCCGCCCGTCCCCCATCACCACGTCCTCCGCCACTCTCTCCACGACACTTTGTTTCTTTCGCACTGTGTTCAATGCACATGACAGCGGGGCATTGTGGGGGATTTTCGACCCTTCAGCACCCCTCATAGCCTTATGAGCCCAGCTCTGCCGCTTCATCCATTCTCACGTTTCCTACTTCCAGTTTCGGACTCTGTATAGAGGAAACTCTGCCCTGCCGGATCCATCTGTGACTTCTTCATCCATTTTCTTGGGGTTGGTTTGGATTTTCCTCTCCTGCGTATTTGAGATTCTGCTGCTAGAAAGCTATGCAGAGCTAAAAAAAATTTACCGAAAACAATATTTCGACGAGGAGGAGCGACTTTTGCCAAAATCTCAAGATTTCGGAGCAGCTGAATCTGACTGGGGGTCTCGAGGGTAAGGACGTTTGCTAAAAACGAGTGATCAAACTGTTCCTTCTCTATAGCTTTTGTACAATACTAATGAGAAAAAAAACAAAAACAAAAAAAAACATGATGTTGAAATGGAATTTTTATTTTATAAGTCAAGTGGAGCCCTTGAAGTCAACTTTAGATGTGTTTTAGGGGTAAACATGGCTTTAAAAATCGGACCGTTGGTTTGCCAAACTCATTTTGTAAATATTAATAATAATTATTATTATTGATAATAATAATAATAATAATGATGACGATGATGACGACAAATAATAACGATGATGATGATGATGATGATTATAACAGTGTTCATCCCATCCCGTGGACTTCCGTGCCATAAAATAGGCTGGCCTTAGTGATGCAAACTCCTTATTAAAACCCAAGCAATATGATCATGTGTCGCAAAATCCCAAGCGGTTGCTTTTTTGTTCTTATTTAAGCAGGGTGTTGAGACTAGCCTGAAAACAACCTGAGAGACTGTTATAATGATTTTATTTTCAGTGGCTCCAGTGATAAATAGATGGTGTTATGTTTGTGTGATCTCTTTCGTTGTGAAGATGAAGCTGGTTACTGTGATGAACGATGAACGGAGCTTCTTTGAATGTGTATGTTTAATGCAGCAATCTGAAATCCGCGTGTGCACCAATGCACATGCATAAACACGCTTACAGAGACCTTAAAGTCAATATGATGTCAACATGTTTTCATTTTTTTTTTTTGCATCTTTCTGCACATTTATCAGTGCTTGTTACTCCAAAGAGAAAAAAAAAGTCCTCTTATAGTTTCTTAAAACTTCCATTTTGACTGACAGTACCCAAATTCAGTCTTTTTAAAGGGGTTATGAATTGAGAAATCTCAAATCATATAAGAGGTCATTGTGCTAGACATTCTGTTAGCAGGGTTGCCAGGTCCAATAATATTTCCCAGCCCAATAAAAATTCAAAGCCCACCCAAAAGAAATGGAAAGTATCTAATTTTCCCTCTTATCCAATCAGAGTTAATCATTGTATTTTCACTAAGGAAAAGGTTTAATGTGTACTATCTTATATTTCTGAAACACAATGGTCTCAAAATCATTTCCTGGAGTGCTGTAGCTCTGTCTAGTTTAGCTCCAGCCAGCTCCAAATCACGCCTGCTTAATAGTCTCTGGTAGTCTTAAACACTTTGATTATCTGGATCAGCTGTGTTTGATTAGGGTTGGAGCAAAACTGTGCAGAGCTGCGGCCCTCCAGGAATCGAGTTTGAGACCTGTTGTAGATTGTAGATTTACCAAACAACAATACTACAATACTACGCACACCAAACAACAATACTAAATACCTTTCTAGATCAATTTCTATCAGAGATGGCAAAAGTACTCACATCCTTTACTTAAGTAGAAGTACAGATACTCATTTAAAACGACTCTGGTTTAAAGTAATGACTACACTTTTGTACTTAAGCAAAAGTAAAGAAGTTCTGCCTCAAAAAATGTACAAAGGTAATAAAAGTCAAAAGTACATGTTTCAACCACAGTCCCAAAGACATGCGGTATAGGTGAATAATTCAACTAAACTGGCATTGTAAAAATGTGTGTGTGAATGTGAGTGTGTATGGGTGTTTCCTAGTACTGGGTTGCAGATGGAAGGAAATCCGCTGTGTAAAACATGCTGGAATAATTATATTTTTATTTATATATTGCCCAGTATACTTAGATTTGTTGTTGAAAAATATTTCTTAAATTATATTAACTGAGAAAAAAGGTATAGACCTATGTAAAATCAATAGGCAAATTAAAAAAAATCAATAAAAACTAAAAAACAGCATAAATTCTGTATTAGGAATTATGAACTTATCAGAAATAAAGGAAATAAACTGCAATTGATCATTTTTTTTATATAAATAATTTGATTGTTTTAGTAGTAAATACACAAAACAGCACTATTTTTGTGGTATTAGATTGAAAGACCAGAGTAAGCCCATGCAATCTGAAGTAAACGAAGGCTTAAGCATTTAAACGGCATGCTTTTGAACTGAAATTTGTATCTCTAGTCTACCTGTGATCCAAACGAGCAAAAGGTGTCTTATTACCATGTAAACAGGGCAGCATCAGTCATGTTAGATTCGCCGTCTCCCTCTGTCACATCTGCATGGTCATGCTAGCCTTTTTTATAGTAATCTTTATAAACTAGCCCAGGTACGGTGCGCGATAGCCTTAAAACGGCCACACAGTGCAGCACGCAAGTGCGCAATGAGAAAAAGTGTACTGACTGCATCAAAACTGTGTTCTTATAATGCGCAATGACAAGAAATAATATAGATTGCGCCACCAAACACATGAAAATAAAAGTAACAACCGTGGTTTAAAAAATGTAAGGAGTGGAAAGTACAGCTATTTGTGTAAAAATGTAAGAAGTAAAAGTAAAAAGTTGTCTAAAAAAGTAAGTTGTGGAGTAAAGTACTGATGCTAGATAAATCTACATAAGTACAGTAACAAAGTATTTGTACTTCGTTACTTTCCTTCCTTTAAGAAATGGTATAGTTTTCATTTTGTATTTGCGTGAAAGAATCATTTTGATTTCCACAGCACTTTATGAAAGTACCCCCACAACCAAAAAAAAAGGTAACTACTTCATCCTGCAATTGCATTTTTTAAATGATGTGGGAAAACTATAACTCTGGCAACACTACCTATAAGACTCAGAACTCAAACCATGGTTAGTTCAAGCTGCCAAAATGATTCGTTATAGAACTTTGTCTCAGTACCAAAAAGATCACACCCAATTCTGCATCACTGCCTTTTTAGCCCCGCCCACTAACCAATGTCCAAGGACAAGAGTAAATAGAGAAACGCAAACACAGGATTATTTAAGCAACAAAATAGATAGAAATGTGACATGCAGAGCTAAGCTGTGGAAGAACATTACATTTACAGTATACGGTGGCTGAGAAACTTAACATGCTGCAATTTAGGAAATCCCAGGCAATTACAAAAAAACAGCAGCAAATCGAAAAAATATCACACGTGCTGCAAATCCTCACAATGTAAATACACATTTTAAAAAAACACTTTGTATTTTCACGCAACGCTAATTTTTTTTTTATAAAACTTGATTTGTTTTCTCACAATGCAAACATTTCACAAAATAACATGCTGCATTTTCTGAAGGAGACCCTAAAATGTGACAGTCCTCGCTATTTAGGTCTTGGTTATTTAGGCTTAAAAATACTAAAGACACAGAAATCAGGATAATAAAATAAACTGAATAAAACTCACCTTTAAAGATCACCTACAACTTCACTGAGCAATAGTCACGGCACAGCTGCATCCACCACATTTTTTGGGTCCCCTTGAAATATTTCCGTTTTGTTCTGATGTTTTTGTGTTGAGAGAAAATGCAGTAAATTTTCTTAAATCGTTTGTGTTGTGAGAAAATGCAGTGCGATTCATTAATTTTTTTGCGATGTGGGAAAGTGCAGCACATTCTTTTAATGTGTATGCATTGTGTGGATTTGCAGCATGTGTGCTGTCAAACGGATAGAGATCTTTTCTTAATGTGCTGGCGTTTTTTTGTAATTGCATGGGATAATTGCAGCATGTTAAGCTCTCTCGGCCACCGGTGTTACCCTGATTCATAATACATTCTATTGTTAAGTATTTTTAAGGACTTTAAACAGGACACAGTTTAGCACAGGCTGTTCAGAGAGACTGAAAATAAAAGATTATACAGGGTTGAATATATTGGTACCTATAACAATTCCACAACACACAAGTCTGAGTAATAAAATATCGTGTATCACTATTGATTTATCTGTTATGAGTGACTGTATGAGTATTTTTGTTTTCAGCTCCCCCAAAAAGCGTAATGTTTTTAGAGCAATTCACACCATCATTCAGCTATTATTTTAAGTTTTACCACAGTGCCTGTTTCTGATTGGCTGATGAACAATCCAAGGCATGCCATTATTTTTAGATAAACTAGTACTACACACAGTTGAGTTAAGTTTGAGGACGAAATCTGTGTTGAAATACAATGTCATTGGGTGTGGTAACCATAGTATAAGCAGAATAATTGACTCTAGTCTATTGAAATATTAGAAAGTAATGCACACCTGAAGTGTAACAAGCATCACCACCTTGGGTGTGCAATATTTTTACCCCTTACATACGAATCACAAGCAGATATAAGAGAGATATCTCCATTTACTCTTAATGTTTTAATATGTCTCTTTGTTAAATCACTTTCCTAAATCTTTTGTTATAAAATAAGTATACACTCCCTGACAAAATCTAGTTGTAGAAACATCAAATAATAACTTGACTTCCAATTGATAATTGGTGCCCATTACATTACATACAGAAGTGGCACTTCTTCTCATACTTAAGCCTCCTCATCAAAGTTTCTGAAAGCAAAGAAAGTCAAGGTCTTACAGGATTGGCCAACCCAGTCACCTGAAATGAGCATTATTGAGCATGTCTAGGGTAAGATGGAGGAGGCATTGAAAATGAATCCAAAGAACCTTGATAAACCTTGAGAGTCCTGCAAGATCGCTTTCTTTGCCATAACAGATGACTTTATTAATAAGATATTTGAGTCATTGCAGAAATGTATGAATGTAGTCCTCCAATGGGAGTCATATACAATATTAATTCTTTTTCCACTGCCATATGACTTTAGCTTTTATACTGTACAAGTCAATTTCTGTCAAGTGACAAGAATTTAGTCTGAGGAAAGTCAGATCTTACTGTAGGAATTTTATAATTAATAACCAAGCCATGATCATATTTTATTTTGGTAAAATAAGCATTATCTAAAGGACTTTGCCTTTCATATAAGCCACTTTTGAGACCAAATGATCAACTAGAAGTCAAGTTATTATTTGTTGTTCCTAAAATTTTGATCAGTGACAAGACTTTTGTCAGGTAGTTTATGGGGAAAATATACGTACAGTAGGAGCTACGAAAGTACACTGGGTTTGTGTTCAGATGTTAGGTGGTTGAAGACATGACCACATGAGTGTCTACACCAGGGGTCACCAAACTTGTTCCTGGAGGGCCGGTGTCCTGCAGATTTTAGCTCCAACCCTAATCAAACACATTTAACCAAGCTAATCAAGCTCTTACTAGGTATACTAGAAACACCCAGGCAGGTGTGTTGAGGCAAGTTGGAGCTAAACCCTGCAGGGACACCAGCCCTCCAGGACAGAGATTGGTGACCCCTGGTCTACACTATGAAAGAAATGAGGGTTTAACTACCTTTGTAAGTGGTCAAAACTGGCAAGCTCAAAATGTTTCTAATCCCATTTATACCCGTTTTCAGCATCATCGACTTGACAAAATTGCATCTTAATAAATGTTATCTAGACCAAAGAGAGGGTCAAATATAGCCTATTCCTTATAAAAGATTGTGTTTCTAATGTAGACCTCAGAGAACATCATAAATGATGCAGTTCATGACCCCTTTAAAATCCAGACACATAACTGAATGCTAAAAACCACTGGCTCAGATATCAAATGTAATTCTCATGTTTCACAATTTACTCAATCCCCAAAGCAAAAGTTCATTTTTGCTCATAAATACATCACATTATATATAAATTGGGTTCATTTCATGTTGACTTTAGGGCCATCTGATCACATTGAAGCATCCAATCATAGAAGACCTCCATAAATGACGTCTGTCTTCATAAAGCTTTCCATTACTGTGACAATGAATCCCTCCTATTTTATGGCCAAAGTCCCAATTTAATTTCTAATAAAATCGGTTTCGGACCTGCGAGATCTAAATTTCGAGGATTAAAAGGACGAGGATGAAAATCAAGGTGAATGGGAGTCCTTGAGATTTCAGTACGTTTCTATTTTGCCTTTACCTCAGCTAATGGTTTGGTAATGTGAAAGGACACGTTATTTTTTATCTTGATGATAATGACATTCTACAGTGAATTTTTAAAGTTTTTTTTTTGTTTTTTGGTTTGTTTGTTTGTTTGTTTGTTTTCTCTTGATTTACGTAACCCACCATGTAATACTGTTACCAATAAACACATCCCAAAATGTTGTTCTGCCTCTCTGTCAGCAAAATTTCAGTGTATATACAGCTATATGGTGTTTTCACTTGCAACTTGATTTAGTTAGTACTCGAATCATTACGCAGTCGTTATGGATACAACAACAGCATGGATTGAACTGCAGGTTACTCTACTACTGCTTATTTAAGCTGTCTAAACCACAGACAAATGCTAACTTATAGTATGAATCATATTTAAGCTGTAAAAGTGAAGCACACTTAGACAAACTTAATTTAATAGGCTCTCTTCTTCTTAATTTGTTAATACCTTTTGGCATTTTTTACTCTAAATGTTTATTTTCACATGATCGTGTGCCTGGTGACATTCTGTGGAGGGTGCTAGGGGAGGAGTATGGGGTCAGAGGCTCTCGTTGAGGGCCGTCTCATCCCGGTATGAACAGAGTAGGAGTCTGGTTCGCATTGCCGGCAATAAGTCAGATTTTTTTCCAGTGCAGGTTGGACTTCGGCAGGTTCTTTGTCACCAGTTCTATTCATAATTTTTATGGACAGAATTTTAATGTGCAGCCTTGGGCTGGAGGGGGTCGGGTTCGGGGACCACAGGATTTTATCTCTGTTATTCGCAGACTATGTTGTTCTGTTGGCTTTATCGTACATGGACCTTCAGCATGCAATGGGGCGGTTTGCTGCCGAGTGTGACGTGTCTGGCATGAGAATCAGCACCTCTAAGTCCGAGGCCAAGGTGAACCACCGGGAAAAGGTAGTTTGCCATCTCCAGGTTGGAGGAAAGTCCTTACCCCAGGTGGAGGAGTTTAAGTATCTCAGGGTTTTGTTTATGAGTGAGGGAAAGATGGAACGTGAGATTGACAGATTGGTGGATAGGTGCAGTCGACCTAAGGAGGTGTTTCAGGCATGTCCCACCAAGAGGTGGCCTCGGGAAAGACCCAGGACACGCTGGAGGGACTATGTCTCTTGGCTGGCCTGGGAACGCCTTGGGATCCCCCGTGGAGGAGCTCGAGGAAGTGTCTGAGGAGAAGGAAGTCTGGGGTTCTCCTAAGACTACTGCCCCCACGACCCAGCCCCAGAAAAGCGTCAGAAAATGAATGAATTAATTTTTTTTCAGTTTGACTTTTTAGTACAGGCAAAACATGACAAGACTTTATCATTTTCAGCAGCAATTATAAGCAAAAAATATGAAAGTTTCATTCGGTTCAATGTTTACAGTACGTTCTGTTCTCCAATATGGCCAACTAATGATGTTTCTTGAAAACACACTATTCTATTCTACATTTCTTGAAGGTGGCTGCCATATAGAAATCACATGGCCAGATGCATACTGCTCTTGATACCAAACTCTTTATCGCAAGCAACATGTACTTTTTGAAAGTGTTTGTACTTTAGGTGCTAGTATCATTTTTAAATAAAATACAAGTTCTTATTAATTATATATTAGTTATTTATTAGAAATACCACCAGTACTCATACATTAGTACACATTTTTAAATAGTAATAGTAATTCTTTAGATATAGCTTTATTGGAGTTACCCTTTTCAAGAGGGTATGTTTAATATGTTTTCATGTCTGCGCAAAGTAATTTACACTTTTTATGTTTCCCTTTGGTAAATTACTGAGTTTGTTTTGACTAGCTGTGTATGTAGTTTGCCTAGTGCAAATCTGTAGATAATTGTACGTATTTTACTTTAGCCAAACAGAATCTGTGGATATTTTGTGCTGGGTTATTTTATTCAAAATGTATGTAAAATATGAACAAACTCAACTGTTGGGTTATTTATAAACATAGTGAAAAGTGTTGGTACTTCTACTGAAGAAAGGACAAACTCACAGTGGTCACTGAGATAATTTAAAAGTAAAAATGTTATAAATAAAACAAACAACAAGTCTAAAATTGTGATTCAGCAAAAACATTTTAAAAAGTCTAATTAATGAAACCAGCCTGGATTAATTTTAAGGATCCATATGCTGATACAGCGGCTCAGGTGAAATTTTTATCTATATACAGTTGAAATCACAATTATTAGCCCCTTGTTGTTTTTTTAACACATTTTTAAACATAATAGTTTTAAAACTCATTTCTAATAACTGATTTATTTTATCTTTGCGATGGCAGTAAATAATATTTGACCAGATATTTTTCAAGACACTTCTATACAATACAGCTTAAAGTGAAATTAAAGGCTTTATTAGGTAGGCAGGTTAGGGTAATTAGGCAAGTTATTGTATAAATATTATTTGTTTAATAAGAAAAGTTTAATGGGGCTAATGATTTTGACCTTAAAATGTTTTTGTTTTTTTTAATAATTCATTAAAATACATGTATTGTATAACTGTAACCAAACAGAGTTTTTACAAGTTTGAGTTGTAATAAACCAGCATCTTCAGATATATCCAATGAATAAATGCAAGTATTGTGTTTATTTTAAAGAATTGCTAGTGCAATGGCTTATCACATAAAGACATACTCTAGCAATGTATATAAATAGTACCATTTAATCAATTTCGTTTAGCTAGTTCTTATTGTTTTAGATACTAGTGGCTTTTCCATTAATTAACCTTGCACATGAAAAAATGATTCTTTAGTAATTTATAGTAAATACTAGTTTTTTGTTTTGTTTTGTTTTTTTCTAGAGTAATTTAAGTAGTGTTGTGCAATGCTGCATCCACGCCACTAGATGTCAGTATAAAGTTTAGTATTTGCCAGCAAAATTGGTTAACTGAGAGTGTTTTTGATGAACGTAACGTTAGGAGAAACATTTCACCTTATACTAATTCAGTTACATACAAACAATCAAATCGTCTCGTATTTCTTCCACTTAATCAAATTAGTTTAGAGGGCATTTCTGCTACCTGAACTGCTGTTTGAGAGGTTGAATTATCTAAACACACAATCTAAATTAGATTCAGTTTGTGAATTGACTCACTGAACTGAAACGTTTCCAAGTAAATAAATGCATTTAGGCATTTCGTTATACACAACACATTTAAATTCACTCTCATTTGCTTGTGGAGACCAATACTAGCCTGCTTTGCTATTCTTAGAAGAATTTATCACTAAAAGCATTATCATATTTTATTTTATTTCAGCCTTGATGAAAATTAGCATCTCTCAAACGCTTCAACTGTAAACACACAGTAACCTATAATTTGTAGGTCGGAGGTCAAATGACCTTAAGCATATTTCATTCTGGGGTGGATTCCTTCTTTCTGAAGGTATGAAGATTGATTTACAAGCATAAGAACTGGTTTCCTTTGAGTAAATTTCTGAGCCGAATGTTTTGACAAGCTGCAAAACAGAATACTAGAGGTAGACAAAGTTTATATCCTGGTCCTACAATTAACAGCCAATTTTATTCATTCATTCATTTTCTTGTCGGCTTAGTCCCTTTATTAATCCGGGGTCGCCACATCGAACGAACCGCCAACTTATCCAGCAAGTTTTTTACGCAGCGTATCCCCTTCCAGCCGCAACCCATCTCTGGGAAACATCCACACACACATTCACACACACACTCATACACTACGAACAATTCAGCCTACCCAATTCACCTGTAACGCATGTCTTTGGACTGTGAAGGAAACCGGAGCACCACATGATCACTCTCATCGGAATTATTGTTTGTAACTTTGTTGGTAGGTTTGCAAACTAGCGTACTTTACATTGCATCTACCATAAACTTTAGCCGTTTGCATTTCTTGAGGTCACAAAAGCTCCCTGTGAGTGTGATCTTAATAGGTGCAGCTGAAAGGGCGAACGCCTTTGCCGTACGTAAGTGTCGCTCCATTGGAAATAAAATAACAAACTTGTCTGCATCCATGTGCCTCAGAAGTTAATTCAGTGTACGTGGTTATTAGTCTCAGTGTGCAAGCTCGGAACTTTAAACTAGCACACAGTTGGCTGTAAAACTATACAAAGACACAAATGACTGTGAACTCTCTGCTTCGTCTGTGTCCGAGGTGTACATGTACGGCTGAATGCTGATCCTCTCATTCATGCTGCTTGCTTCTTTCTGTCTGCCTGTCTGTTGCCAAACACAGAGCTGGGGAGCTCTTGGCTCTGCCCCCTTGTTAAGTTCGGCGGGAATTTGAAACTAATTTTCATGTGAAGCAACACACCCCTAAAACAGCGAGCTGTGTACACACCCCCAAAATGACACATTGTAACACATTATAATAAAAAAAAAATCTGAATTGTGTTTTGAACTGAACCTAAATTGACACACTCAGAAGAACCATAGTATTAATATTAAATCATTAAAAAGGGGTAAACTATGTGCCCTTTAAAATAATCTAAGAAAGTATGCCACACTATTTAAAAAAGATATCTACATATTAGGGCTGTGCAATTAATCAAAAATCCGATTTCGATTTCGATTTTGGCTCTAACGATTATGAAAAACCATTAATCGAGATAAACGATTATTGCATCATATACAGCCCCCTTTCCAGTTGTACACATTTGTTGCTTTTAAAAGCGCGAAAGGCCGCATGCTTATGTGTGTGTCAGAAGCATGTGGTCAGCATTTGGTCTCATTCAAACACTGAGACGAGAAGAGGAGCGCAAACATCTAAAGTCATCTTAACGTTAGCGCTTTAATGGTCAAATAGGTGTCAAAACGCGGTGTTTAGTTATTATTCATATTAACCCTCACTTGTGTAATAAACAAACGAGTAGAGAATCCAAAGACACGTGACAGAGAAACCATTAAAGTGACTGCGCAAAATATTATTATTTTATCATTAAACAAACATCAAGGAGAAAATCCCTCACTGCTCTTGACTGAAGGATTTTTGTAGCTAAAGTGTTTTTCTTAGGGTGAAGATGCTTAAAGCACAGTTTGTTTCATATTTTTATTCTATTGTATTTATTTCTCTTTGTTTTGGCTGGGTGGAAAATAACTGTACGTATACAGTTGAAGTCAGAATTATTAGCCCTCCTGAATATTAGCAACCCTTTTCCTCCCCAATTTCTGTTTAATGGAAATATTTTTTTTGTTTGTTTTACTTATTTCTGAACATAATAGTTTTGATATCTCATTTCTAATTATTGATTTATTTTATCTTTGCTATTATGACAGTACATAATATTTTACTAGATATTTTTTTTAAATACAAGCATTCTGATATGCAATTCAAAGGCTTAATTAGAGTAATTAGACAAGTCATTGTATAACAGTAGTTTTTTTTTTTTTTTTTCTACAGACAATCAAAAAATCTATTGCTTAAGGGGGCTTATAATATTGACCTTAAAATTGGTTTTAAAATATTTAAACCTTCTTTTATTCTAGCAAAAATAAAACAAATAACCATTTCTCCAGAAGAAAAAATATTAGAGGAAATACTGTTAAAATTCCTTGCTCTGTTAAACATCATTTGGGAAATATATATTAAAAAAAATAAAAAATTCTCAGGAGCGCTAATAATTTTGACTTCATCTGATAATCGTTTTGAATAATCGTGATTACAATTATGACCAAAATAACCGTGATTATGTTTTTTTTCTAAATCGAGCAGCCCTACTACATATACATTTACTCGATGACCCTTCAATAAGAATTTGCCATTTTACTGAATTTAAGTAAAAAGTAGGAAAACTTTCTAATCATGTTCTGTAAATTAAAAATAGAGATGAAATAAATGGTAACTGAAATTAAAGGTATTATAGTTCACCCAAAACTGAAAATTCTGCCATCATCTACTCATACTTCATACTTGATAGTCATACTAGTTTTTTTTCTTTCTTTCTTTTTTCTTTCCCACAAAGAAGATATTTTGAAACATGTTGGTATCTACCACCCACTGACTTCCAAGCTAATTTTTCTAAAAGAGGTGTGAACAACACTGACCAATCATTTTTATAATTCCTATTTTACGTTATCTGAAGACGTAATGAGAGTTTGATTTGATTGTTTAATGGTAGAAGCTGTGCCTTCGTGGATTTCTGTGCTTCTTGCCCGACTGCATTCTTTCTGAATGAAAACAGTCCTTAGCTGGCGTTCAGTGAAGTTACTTGTTTGACGAGACATTCCTTTATCTCGTCATTAGCACATGAACACGCTCATCCAACCTCATTCCAGTTTGAGGGCCAATGGGCGAGTTCTCACTCTGTGTGCTATTTATCCTGAAACAACTGCGACACAACACCATTTCAGTTGTACATGCTGAATCTTTTCTAATCGTTAAGGAATAACTCAATGGATTATTAGTTTATGAGGCGTTGAGAAGAGAGAAATATGTTCTTTTAACAAACTGCGGGAAGATTTTGTCTCACAATGATGGAACAGGTAAGAAACAACTATGACATTATTATTATGTTTTATTTGTATGATTATTATTATAGTAACGTTTGAGTATGCTTTAAGATTGGATGTATCTGCATAAACTTTTTAAACACAGATTTTTTCATATCTCAAATTTTTACTTGAGACTGAAAAAGTTAATCAAATATTGAGTTAGAACCATTGGGAATTTGGACATGTGCCAGACTAGTACCACAATATCTGTTTTGTGAGAGTTTCCTATACTAAAAATCAGTTTATTGGTTAACATTTGCTTGCACTTTATTGTATTGTAGAATACTACCTACTAGCAAACCATTAACTATTTATTTTGCCTTAATTAACTCTTAAATTTGCTGCATATTGATAGTTAATAAGATAGTTTGGTATTGGGTGGGACTAGGGGTGTAGAATACGAGCATGCATAATATGCACGTTATAGGTAGTAATAAGCAGCCAGTATCTTAATAATAAGCCACTAGTTAATAGTGAGAACTGGTTCTATAGTGTTAGTCAACAATTTATTGCAATTCAATGTCATACTGTTGCTTGAAAAAATTTTCTAATGTTTCTTGTGGTAATGTTCAGAACAGATTACTACTTTAGTTTGAGAGTTCTTGTACTTGTGTTTTTGTATGTGTTTAAATTGACTAGTTTGGTTTGGGCTATTAAAATGTATGGGATTTGATTAGTCCAGTGGTTCTCAAACTTTTTTCATCAAGTACCACCTCAGAAAAAAATTGTCTCTCCAAGTACCACCAAAATGAGCAGTATTGAAATACAGTAGCGTAGTAGGCCCAGTAAAGCAGCTACAACTCTGCACAGTTAAAAAAAACGTGGCAGATTACCTCAGAAATATAGGCTATATGTCATATATGACATGTTATATACATAATTTTTTATACATTTTTAAATGTGTGTAGCATGTACATGACATATTTCATTCCTCCGCGTACCACTAGAAGGAAGCCTGCGTACCACTAGTGGTACACGTACCACAGTTTGAGAACCACTGGATTAGTCAATAACAGTATGCCATCAAATGGCTTTCTGATTCCTGAAACATAAAGTTGACTGTGTTCTGTTTTGATGTTAAGCAGTTTTTTTGTTTGCTGAAAATACATATGCATTTCATAGTGCAATTTATGTTTACTTTGAAATAACTTTGACTACATTTTATATATCAGGATGAATCAGCAAGGTTTGGGGGAGAAAATGGTCTGAAGATCCATCCTAAACCTGTCATCCCAGAAAAACCTAAAGGCATCCCACCTCCATCAAAAGTCAGCAATCCATTTGTCTCCTCCCTCAATGCTGCTGTGAGAAAAGGGGAGATTCTCGCACCACGTGTAGTCTTTAAAGATGACAAAAATCTCAGTCGCCAGCTCTCCCCACCTTGGGGATCAAAACCCAGTGACAACCAGTTCGTCAATAACACCGAACTGCTGGATAATAACCAAAAGAAGGAGGTTGATGCTATTAAACAGAATCTCAAAGACAAGAATCCCCCACTGGTTTCACCAATGTCTCCAAAAATAGATGAAACCTCAGAGCCTGAATGTAGTCCACGCACACCTGTGTCCGCTATACCAGCCAAATGGTCAACACCTAAGAAGTTTGTATTTAACCCCCCAAAAACTAGCAAAGTTGAAATCAACCAAACAGAACATACGAGGGGGGTTGAAGTTGCCAAGAAGTCTATGAAGGACAGAAATTTTCCATTGGTTCTGCCAATGGCTCCGAAAAAAATTGAAACTTCAGAACCTGAACCCAGCATATTTACACATGTGTCTGTTCCACCATCCACACCCAAGAGCTCTGTTATTATCCCTCAAACAGCCAGTAAAGTTGTCAATGAGAATGCAGATGTCACAAAAGAGTTCAATGTTGCAAAAAAGTCTATAAAGGAAAGGAATCTTCCACTTGTTTTGCCAACAAAAGCTGAAACCCCAGAGCCTGGAAGCAACCCCAATACACCAATGGCCATTTCACCAATCAAAGTATCTACACCCAAGAGTTTTGTATTTAACACTCCAAAAACTAGCAATGAGAAGTCAGGAACAGTGGAAAGTTCAATTAAAGTGGAAAGCCCAATTCCAGCAAGTCGTACTCCTGCTTCGCATCCCCCAACTTTTACTGCCCCATCGGTTGCAGCATTTCCCCCCACTGAAAGTGTTCCAGTTGTCCCTAAGGCTGTTGTTCCTTCTCAGACTTCAGTTGTAGCACCTTCTATCCCCAACACTCCTGCCCCAAGCATTCCAACCCCAAGCATCCCGACCTCTGTTAACCTTGAGCCAAAGATTCTTGAGCCAAAGATTCTAGAACCAAAGATTCTTGAGCCAAAGATTCTTGAGCCAAAGATTCTTGAACCAAAGATTCTTGAGCCAAAGATTCTTGAACCAAAGATTCTTGAACCAAAGATTCTTGAACCAAATATTTCTGAGTCAAAGATTCTTCAGTCAAAGATTTCTGAGCCAGCCATTACAACACCAGTCATTCCTGATCAAACTGTCCCTAAGACTTCTAAACCAGATCCATCTTTTACAACTCTTTCTGACACCAAACCTCTAAAACCTATTTTAAAAATGCTCAATTTGTCAGAAGTATTTCCTCCCCCTGAAGGAAGCCCTCCTGCAGAATTCACTGATATTCCTCCCCCTCTTCTTGAAGATTATCCCGAGGGAGACTTATTAGAGCAAATCAAACCCACTCCAGCAATCCGTACATCTATCCCCCCAATTTCCAGGAGTCCAGATATCTCTAGCTTATCATCTACCCCTGCATTGTCTTCCCCTCCAGTGGTATCTCCAGAAACTTTGGTGAAGCCCTTAGACATTCATACTGTAGTTAAACCTGCAGATGTGGTGCTGGAGAATACAGAAAGTCTCACTGACAATCCTGACAGGATAAAAGAGGAACATCCCTCAACCAAGCCACTTTCACCCCTCTCAGTCTTGGCAAGAGCAGAAGAGATGGCCTCAGTAAAACGGACACCACCTGATAGCCGTATTTTTAACCTTCTGGAACGGGCTAAGAGAAAGTCAACAGCGATTCAGTTGGCTACCACACCTGGGCATACAACCCCAACGGAGACAGTCACGCCTGAGATACCTCTGCCTGAAACTCCCACACCTCTGCCTGAGACTCTCACAACTGAGGTGACACAACCTAAGGTGACTCCACCTGAAAAGGCATTACCACAGCTTGCCACAACTGTAAAAGCACTGCATGAGGAAGCTCCATCAGAAGTCCCTGTTATCCCTAAACTCCCTCCAGTTGACTATGTAGATCATGCAAGGTTTCCACCTAAAGCCCAAATACCTGAACTGGCCAAGGTTAATGGCCTTGATAATAGTAAGTATCAGTTTTAAATAAGGTTTACACTGTTTTATCTTGCCCACATTTTTGTGTTAAATTGTGTCCATAACAAAAAGTGTATGTTGTTGTTAGGCAGTCTTGTATCAATTAGGGTGACAATACCAGTTAAATACCAATTTAATTTAATTTTACATTTAATTTTCAAAGTGTGAATACCTTTAAGCTTTGGAAAACAGGCTGTAAGTACCTTTTTGACTATCAGGTGGATTCCATTCTTCAGGGAGGGTTGGTATGCAGGATATGTACGTCTATTGTGGCTTGTGTTTGGCAACATATCTTTCATAATCAGAATGACAAAGATTATTTTGTCTCAAGGATATATCTGTAAAAGTAGGACATTTTGGTTTTGACTTCAACTAAACACTAATTAGACTTGCATGAATCCCCTTAAGTAGTTGTTGCAATTAGATTATATTACTCAAAGTTTAGAAGCATCAGAGAAAATGTTTTAATTACTGTGAATCACAACAATACATCTACACCTAACATTGTAAACGTAGAAATATTTAACATCTTTTATGCATTGAGTCTCGTGTATTAGATCAGTTATTGCTCAATTATTACACAAGTTAAAAACATGAACATCACAGTTTCTGTGTTTACATTCCATAATCCTGTTTTACCTGATGCGTTTTCTCAACCTCACCATTTTCTTTAGCTTTGCAGAGATATCTTTGTGTTCCTGACCTAGTTCTTGTGCTTTTTTTTTTAGTATGAGTAGTGTATTAATAAATGGTTGGGATGGGGTTAGGGTTAGTTGCATCAGTTCACATACCTGCAAAGTTGCTAACCATATAATCAGAGATAGGATAATAAGATAATGTTGGTTTTCAGTTGGCATCAGAAAACTTGTTGCAAATTTACTCGTTGACAACAGAATGGCCAAAGTGGACCATTGTTACTTGGCTTGTAAGCAATGCAAACTATTGCTCAGTTCTGAGCATAAACATTTAATAATCATGAAAGAACAAAATAAAGCATATTTTGCTTTTCGATCTTGGAAGTATTCAATTTAAGCCGGTGATTTTACCACCATGGTCATCATCAGAGCTCATATTCCCAGTCCGTTCAGCATCTGGCTCATAACTGCATCTCAAAGATGCATCTCAATCATATTCTCAAGCATTATTTACAGTATCTTCATAATCAATATTTTGATCGTTGTGTCAAGTGACTGTACAACCTTTCCTGTTCCTGTGGTAAGTTTGAGTCATATCACCAAAGAAAATTGCAACTTTTAATTTTCTGTCAGCCTTAGTACATGATGTATCTACAGAAAAGTTAAGAAACAACTAAATATATATATAGAAAATGTTTGGTAATGTTTGAGTGAGGTGGCAATGGTATAATCTGATTTAAAACCAAAAAAAAATATTTTACAATTTTGTAGTTTTGTACAATGGTTGATAAAAGTTATGGTTGGCTAGGATTGGTTTGAAAGCAACTTGTAGTCCTGAAAGGTTTCTTGTCCATGACTTTGTTTACACAGTGGTTTAGTAGTTGTCCTTTCTAATTTACATAAGTGATCTCAATGTTTCTGCAGGGGTGTTGACAGTGGTCAAACCAGTACATCCTCCTCCACCACCACCTAGGAAAGCTCTGCCAGCCACACCCATGGTGGACCCTCTATTAGAAAAAACAACTCCATCTCCTGCGCTTCACCTCCAGAGACCGAAAACACCATCTGAACACCTAGAAACACTTGGTAAACAATTTACCCTCAAAAACCCAAGACCTAAAACTCAATTCACTCCATTTTGACTTAAGATTGATCAAGTATTGTATGGGTTTGTCCACTTTTGAAAATGCATCTCTTTAAATTGTTTATATACAGTAATACCACCAAAAACCACACGATTTCTGCCTGCACTCTCAGAAATAACGAGGTACACGAGCTGTCATTGGGTTGGTACCTTTCGAAAGGGTATAAATTTATATCTTAAAGGTTTATATTAATACCTAAATGGTACATATTGGTACCTAAAAAGTAGAAAATTCTTAGGTACTAATAGTATACTTTTGAGGTAACAATATGGACCCTTTAAGTACAAATGTGTACCTTTAGAAAAGGTACCACCCCGGTGACAGCTCGCATAACTTTATTTCTGAGAGTGCACTGACCAGATTAAACACACAAATTATAATCATAATTGTAATTTCCATCCACATTCTTTTCATTTTTATGCTTTTTAGTTTTAACCTCTTAAGGCCCAAGGTGTTTTGTCACATGCATTTTTTTATTTCTATTTGCTATTTGGGCTTATTGAAACATAATTAGAATAAAAACCTAAGCATCATCTTTTGATTTGATATACTTTTAGAGAAAACTGATATCCATTTATGTAGAGTCATGGTCCGAATTTACATAAAACACTTTTTCCTGACTGTTTACTAGTGCACATTTAACATTTTTTGAACATGTTTTGAATATCAGAGAGTAAAAACACATTTTTCCCCATTTTGGACAGTTAAAAATAGTGTTTGGGACATTTCCTATGCTGCAAAACAGTTGCAGGATGAAGCAATCAAAGTATTTTAAATAGCCACTTAAGAGCTAAAATGTGTTGTCCACGTATGTGGCCACTAATCCCTAGGAGGTTAATCAAACGCTATTTAACCCATGTTAATACCATGAAACAAATCTTAAAAGTATCTGTTCACCATGCATCAAGCCCAAATACAAATTTGCTTTTCTTCGTCAGAAGGATCACTACATGACAGCTCATTTGGAGAGATATTTTATGATGCTGAAGAACCTGCCACTCCTGCAGTTTCCACCTTCAGGCCTCCGTCAGTACCATCATCATCCTCTACTCCCAAAAGACCACTTTCAGGTCATGAGGAAGTCCTCCTGAAACAGCACAACCCAAAACCTCAAGTTAAAGAGGTTGTACCTCTGAACATGGAGGATATGGATTATGGGTCTATGAACTCTGGCTCTCCGAACACAGACATTCAAGTTGCTGTGCTTAAGGACTCAATGCAAAAATCACCTGCCTTGTCTCCATCAGGGTAAGTCATTAAGGCTGTCTTCAATAATTTGAATTTTGTAATAAGACATGCCGCCCACACTAAGCGTTATCCAAAAGTTGCTCATCCACAAGGAAACATCTGAAAAAGCTCATAGTGAATGACTAAAGCTGTTCTTGCATTCTGTTAGTGATGGTGATGTTTCGAAACGTTTATGAATCTTTTGTTTTAAATCAGTGCTTTGGAGTGCTTATCCAATTGGGAAGTTCACATGATTTCAGTAAACGTTTTTGAAAATGTGGTGGTTCTCCATTGGAGACGATCTCTGTTATACCATAAAAAGTGAGTGTGTCCTCGCTGCTGCGTGTCCGCTTGTTAAGTTGTGACGTTTGGAATAGTGTTTCCAGCTCCAAGCCACTACTCATTTGAATTAAGAAAATATTAGTTTATGGTCAGTTTTTAGGTCCAATCCTAATCCTAGCCCTTCCCCTTACCCTAGTATTTTTGTCATTATTACGAATTTTTACTACAAACAAGCACATGTTTTAATACATTCATAACCGCGTACATGTTTTACCGTCATGCTTTAAAAAAAACGCTAAAATATATTTCACGATCTATAATCCATAGTTATAACTCCTGTATAGTAATCCCCCATCATTATGACACTTGATGACACTCGAACACCCTGTCAGTAATGTTTAGTGGCTGGGAATGGGCTTTACAGTGTCTGCTATAATGTTTATGTTGTTTTTGGTGTGTTTATATAAATGAATATGGCCTGAATATGAATATGAAGCATGAGATCGCGATGAGATCTGATGACGTGTGCAGGTGCTGTAGTGCTGTCCCAATTCTTAGGGGTAAACAGTAAAACCCTTTACCTTCACCCTCGGTTTTAAGGGCCAAGGGGAAGGGGTGGGGGTACAAAAATAGTATTGGGATTGGGCCTTAGTTATATCACACATTAAAGTGAATTTTAAATAAATCATGATGTACACATAACAGTATCTGAACTTGCTGACACCAATATTTGAACACCAATATACCACAGACACCAATATTTGAGCAGTTTATTAAAAATGAATCACTTATTGGTCATCGGATATTAGGCATAGTTATATATATATATTTAATAATAAGTATTAATAATAAGTAT